CGAGACACCGTCGTACCCCGAGGCCCCACCTCCCCTCTTACCTCGAGGCACCGTAGTGCCTCGAGTCCCCACCGCCGCCTCAATGCGCCGTTCCCCGAAGACCCCTTGCCCTGGGAACCTCGAGGCGTTGTGCCCCTCCCCTTGCCCAATCCACCTCGAGGCCCCTACCCCGCTCGTCTTTAAAAAAACAAAGTCAGAAAAATGCACTTTAACATATTTATATAGCTTCACAAAAAGAAGACACAAAAAAACTTAGTTGGGTAGAGTAATCATCAAATATTGTGTTTCTTACCTAATGAAGTCTCTCCAACCTTTCACAATTAAGGGAATGAACAGGAACGACCAAGGGTCTCGTTTTATCCCATCAATTTTGATCCTCTCTGCATGTACATGGTTCTGAGTATAAATCACTATATACTAAAAGGACACAAGTTATGCTGAAGTTTCACAAATTAATCAAGAAAAAAGAGATGAGAAAAGGAATTATATTCAACAATAGCAACGAACGAGCAGAAGACAAGGCATTCACATTTAAAATGACCAATCCGGGAAATTTTGAAAGATTTTAATCCACGTTGAGCAATCAAACTCTAAAAAATCATGTTTTTAGTTCTAATGATGGATGAGCCAACTGATCATGCTAAGTAAAAAGGATCAATCAAGAAAAAGGAGATGATAAAAGGAACAATTCTAAAATCAAGGAACGAGCAGAAGACATGCTTAACGCATTTCTCACATTTAAAATGATTACCATAAAAAGGATCTCTATAACCAATCTGAGAAATTTGGAAGGATTTTAGTCCATGTTGAGCAATCAAACTCAAAAAAATCATATTTTCAATTCTGATGACTAATCAAAAGCCAACTGATCATGGTAAAAGGATCAATGAATTAAAATGAAGACAACCACCCCTCTGCTTAGCTTCTTTCTGATTCAAGTTTTGCAGATAAAACAAATATAGATGGTGCTATTAATGTGGAGGACATCAGGAATGGGAAAATAATATAGCTACTTAAGGAAAATAAGATTCCTAATAACAACAACTAATTACTAAACCAAGACTACAAATGTAAAAGTACATATTTGCCTCTTAGCTCACAATCTAAAGTTTAAATGAGAAAAGGGTTTTAGGGGATAGCAGGCCAATCAAATGATGACAGGTTACATTTACAAAACAAGAAGAATGCACTCTTAAGAACTATTAAGAAGTAACTGAATGATTCGAACTACATATGCATCTTACCTCTCAAGTGCAACATAATTTAGAGTCCCACAAGTGGTATAGTCAGCCCTGACTCCCTGTTAGAGATTAGAAGTAAATGCCCTAAGTCAGAAACTTTTACGTTCCCTTGGAAATCCAGAAGCAGATTTTCAGGTTGGGGAACAAGGAAATTTAAGATAGATAATAATCTTCGCAACAGATTTCTAATCAGCAATTGCAAACCTTCAAATCTCGGTGGTATTGTTGTGACAGTGAGTCCATAAGTGTTTCATTACTAAAATTCTAAGCACTAACAGGAGAGAGCTAACCACCATACATGATATACCAAATTCACCATTCCTACGAGTTGATTTCGAGGTTACATATAAATTATTCAATTAATCAATCAATAAAATAAGCCCCCAACCCTAAGTCACAGGTTAAATAAGAAAATGGGAAAAAGTACCCTAAATCAGAGGTTAAATACACAAATTTTCAGGCTGGGGAACAGGGAACAATAGCTAAAAGATTAAGATAGATAATAATTTTCACAATAGATTTTCCAATCAGCAATTGCAAACCTTCAGATCACGGTTGCTGTGACAGTGAGCAATTGCGCTTCTTGAAGCAAAGCAAAATTCTATGTTTCAAGATAAATGATCCCAGGCATGACATACTAAATTCCTCATTCCTACGAGTTGATTTCGAGGTTCAATTAATCAATCAAATCAACTAAGCCTCCAACCCCTAAGTCAGAGGAAAAAGTACCTGAATACGAGCAGCGGTGGCATCCGGATGGGATTCAAGAAGCATACCAATGTTTGTCTTTCCTCATTTGCCTCACAACCACCTCCCTCTTGTTTCTCAGCAATTTTATCCTCGCCACCATGATCTTCACCATTGTCTGTGCATACACACACAAAAAAAACTTGATTTCTTTTATCCAAGAAGAAGTAAAATTGAGAAGGGAATTGGAAAATTCAGCATTTAGAGGAATTCAAAGTTCTGTAGAAAAGAGAAAGATCTATCTTCATCGCCTTGAGAAGAGCGTGTGTGTGAAAGAAGAGAAGAGTGGTCTTTGTGAAGAAGAGCAAGGAGCGACAAACACACAAAGAGCCGTTATTTTTTTAGACAGCTGCCATTCGTTCGTTCGACATAGACACAAAAGAGCGGGAGTAAAATTCGTTCATCTTATTATGGACCGACCTTAAGAGGATGTGATGTATCTAAATAATAGTGGGCCTTGGGCCTTCTTAAATGTCTTTTTGGATCCATTCTACCTTTGCACTCTTCACCGCTTTCCCTTTTTCTTATTATATAAACGAAAATAAATTGGGTTTAAAGTGACGTAACAGAATAGTTAAATTTACAATAAAAAAGGGTTAGATTTTAAATTAGGACATGGCCTCATTAGTTTTAATTATGTTCAATTCTAATTAAGAACGTAATCAAATTTATTAAATTCGGCCAGGATTTAAATAAGATTAGTTAACAAGCTTCTTAATCTTACAGAAATAAAATAATTATAAACTAATTAATTCAAAAATATAATTTACTAACTAATTAATACTAATTTAACAAAATATTTGAGTGAAACAAAATCTTTTTTATGATTTTAAAAAGCGACAAAACTATTTTAAAATAACTTAAAAAACATCCTGAATTTTATAAAACCAATTATTTCAAAGCGTTTCAATTAAAGAAACTTGATGATTAATCTACATTTTGGAAAGTAATAATAATAATACTAATCAATAAGCTCTAAATTTAAACTTGAATAATTTTCACACCACTAAAGACTAAACATTTTTTTCCAGTTACCAAAAGGTGACTAAATTTTATTTTTCCAAATATTGAGCAGTAAGGCGCACGATCTCATGCGCCTTACAAGGCGTTGGTTGACCTAAGAGGTTAACCTAAATCTGTTATATTTTGTAAATTAATTTTTTGTTTATTTTAGTGAACAAGTAAAAGTACATGTATATTTAGTAATATGATGTCTTATTTATGGTTACTGATTTTCCCAAGTAAGAATAAAACTTGAAAAATATAGTAAGACTAATCAACATTGGAGATGAAACTTGTTATTAGTTAATCGCAACATATTATTTCAAGAAAACTGTGTATCAACCTGATGGAAATATTTCATACTAATACTATTAATCACTATTTTGTACTAGTATGCTAGTATTGTACAGACAAAATGGTTAACTACTATCAGACTTGAGTGTGTACAGGAACCGCGATGGCGGTGCAAAATTTCATCAAAGTAACCCCTTCTTTTAAATCTTCGATCAACAGCCAAGGCTGCAAATATATGCCTTTTTGAAGAGTGGAAATAAAGATATCACAACCTGTAAACTAAATCATACCGCGAAGAAGATGAATTCAGATTTGCTCCTCAGCTCCCAAATGCTGCTTCTATAAAGCTTAACTGGTTCTCAGCTGCAAAATTCATCATGTGCTTACACTAATGATTGTGCTGACAAAGAATATGTCACTTTCCTGTACAAAGACCTGCCCGATGGGAACTTTATCTTCAAGCTGTGCTATTACCAGATGAGACGATAACATTTCCCTCTGCCAGAGGACTACAACCTGCTTGGATATGCTGTTTCTCCGACTGCTCTGCTTCGTTTGTGGGAAAGATTTCTGTCTGAAGGGATGGGCATATTTTGTGGACATGCAACCATGTTGACTTCCAGAAACTGTCCCCTCCTACAGGATTACTTGGCCGCAGAATTCCACTTGTTTTCATGACAAGTAGAGTGTTCTTTAGGAGCTCGGAAATGAGTTCAGGGATCTTCTCACTCCGTTTCCCTTTAAATTTCACCTTCATGCATCTCTCTGTTAGAATCAATACCCCTAACCACAGTTTGCAGAAGGATGTCGACTGGGAGAGATGATTCAAAGACTGTAAAAACATTTTGAACATGAGCTTCAGTGCCAAAACTATTGCTCCTTCAGTGCTCCTATAATCCTTCACAAAGCTCGGCTGGGCAAGATTGAGTAATTCATCCAGTAATGTAAATATCACCTGATCAAAACATTGCAACCACAAATCTTCTGGGATATGGATCCCATCAACTCCAGTCAAGCACCTCTGCAGCATCAAGATGGCATGATCCCTTACCTCTTCTCTCCGGTCTTTACAAAATTTCCGCAGTCCCTGTATCAGCCTGAGCCACATTTCTGTTATATCCTGGGTCATTTTTACAGCAGCCTCCTGCCCGAGTGCTTCCTTCGCCTGGTGAGACCATCTAATAAGAGAGATAAGTGATCCAGCCATCAGATCTAAAGATCTCACAGATTGATCAACATTCCCAACATGAGAATCAGCAAACTGCGCCGCCACATTCAAACAGAGGACATAATTAGCAGGCAAGAGGTGGGCCCCATCTGCCATGATGAACGCTAGTGTATCAAAACCTGTTTCAGATGCTTCAGGATGCCGAGCAGTAAAAGAAAGCAGCGATATGATTGTCCGCCAGCCTATATGAGATCGTATCTGCATAGCATTTGCTTTGACAAGGTGCATAACCTCCCGGGTTATCTGTTCAAGAAATGCATCAGCAACCCGAGCATCAAGCTTTAAGATAAGTTGCAGAGACTTGAGAAGCTCATCTGTGAGATTTTCCTTGTATGGAAGTAACCTTTGGCATATGCGAAGCAGACCAAACACAGCCTTCTCTACCAAAGTAGATGGCATTGTTGTTAAATGGACAACACTTGCTATGTGATCATAGACGACCTGCCAAAGAAGCATTATTCTGTCACGGTTATTTATTGTGATAGCAATAAGCAACTCTAGACAAAATACTGCAGTCTCTTCGTCTTCCAGAGAATTATTTCTTTTGCGAGGCTTGCCTGCAGCCAACACAAGGGCCCGAACAAGCTGTAACAGGGACTCAGCTTGCAAAAATTTACTCTCGGCAAAGATGCTATCAATGTGACAACTCTGAATTGTCTGAAGAGTCTGCTGACGTGCGGCAAGCTGTTGTTCAGTTGGCTGTGGCGCAGGTTCTTCATCAAGATATAATAGTTGGCTAAACACCCCCATTAAGCCAGATGATTTCCTTGATGGAGCCAATGAAGGAAAATGAGATGGTGATAGAGAAAGTGAAGTAGGTCTCCTAGGGTCTGCATCAGTAGTAGACTCTAAGTCATCTGCAGCATCACTAAAGAGACGTGTGGGGAGAAGGCCCAATTTGTGCAAACTCAAAATGCAGTCTAGGATGTTCTTCCAACCAGAGCGAATGTGGTCTCCATATTCGTTTGCTACTGTGAAGACTGCTAATGTGGCCAATCTAGCTTTACCATCTTCCGCAAATGCAACAGGAAATTCATCAACATAAGATGGAAGCAAAAGGGTAGTGAACTTGCAAAGAGATACTACCAAATCATTTAACACATCATCGAAGCTATAGGCAGCTGCAATTTTGGCAATGGCAAGGAATCCATTGATACATGTTTCCCAAACATCCTCTTGCTCCACATTATCAAAAACCACAGAGATGGAAGCAATTGCAGGACCAGACAACATAGCAAACATATCATAATCAAGATATGGACCAGGATCACAGATAATATATGGGGAAGTTTGCCTTGATTTATGAACTAGACCAATCCAATGGCTTGGTGCCAGCATTGGAATACCAGCACCTCGATCTGGGGTAATTCGGATCTCATCCTCACAGATGGAGTGGTAAAGCTCGGACAAAAATTCCCGAGGGAGGTCATTTCCTCCATTTATCCTCCGATTGTTCCGGATGAAATCTTCCTCCGTCATCTTCTTTTTTACCTGGGCATTGTGTTGATCTGTATTGAGCATAATAATTGAATATGACAACAATAGTGCAGCATCTTTGTCAGCCAGAATATTTTGCGACTGCTCGTAATATCTCTCAGCAAATGCCTCAAGCACCCTCTGAATTTTCTGAGACTCTCCAGGCAATCTGAAGGTTTCTAAAAAGATTCGCAAGGCTATGTCTAAGTTCATGTCCCGAAAATCAAATGTTCCTGCAAATTCGTGAAGCACTTCAATATAGAAGTCTTCATGACTTCCTAGGAAATCCCCGATAAGATTCTTATCTAAGCCAGTCATATACCTGAAAAAGCATGCTACACTTTTTGGGTCACGTTTCTCAGGTAACAAATGCACTCCTTGGAGAAATTCCATACCCTTTTTTGGATCTCGATTAAAGTGATCAACTCCAATCAACAATTTCCTCTTTATGAGCTTCATCTTACGAAGAAATGGAACCCAATGATTAGGATCACTGTAGTCCTTGCATATCTCTGTCCAAAACGATCTATATTCACCCAGATCTATTGAAGCTTGCTCAGAAACAAATGAATCCTGGCTTATTCTCTCGGCCATTCCCTGCATCATGGCAATTAGACCATCCAAGGCAAGCGTATTTAAAGTTGATAGTGGGATGTTGACCGGAAAGGAACTCTTGGATAACAGGTTTGCAAGGTCTTCAAATACATTGCTGCAAGATATGTCACAATCAAAATTTGCATACATCTCAGGCATGAACATGGGCTGCCTGCAGAAGTCAACAAGAGTTTCTATGGCAACCTCTTGTTGTTGATAAGAAGATCCATGCTTGCTTTGGGCAATCCTCAGTAACACACCAGAGAAGAAAGTTTCAAGCTGTAGCTTTAACTTAATACGCATATGATGATACAAATTTAGAACAATGCTACAAACTGTTGAAAGAATTAAAGGACTCATAGACAAGCCAAAACGCATCAGATTGTGGAACAAGTCTTTCTGTATCAAAGCTAATAACTCAGGATGATTTCCAGATGAAGCACCACTTACTTCTATGGCTGAATTAATTAACCCCAGTGCAAACAAGGGAACATCTTCATCATATGCTATAGGGTTAGATCTAGAACCAATTTCAATGGACTCCATCACATTCAGAAGAGAACACAGGAAATGAAATATCTCCACCATGCAGGGGACCCCATATGGATCCATCATAGGGTTTTCTCCATTACTAGCAATCTCCTCCTTTTGAGTTTTGTCATCCGTTGTTTCATCCCTCTTGTCTGATGCATTGGAAGGAACTGCAGCTGATGCTGACTTACCAGTGGATTCTGCACTAACACAACCATTGTCATGTTGTTTTTCGCCTGCCTGCACAAAAGTAAGTGACGATAAACAAGGGATACTGGCCTCCACTTTTAGTGATTTAAGGGTCAAAGCCATGCAATATAAAAATGTGTCTTGTGTTTCTTCCATTTTGTGCATACTAAATTATGTTTCAATTAAAGGCTAAAATAAATAGATATAAATAGCAAAGAAATAACTCTTCGGGATCTCTTTAGTCCTGTATCAAAAGTCAAAACAACTAAATAGGAGGAAATTTTTTTATCGCAAATCACTATATGCATGTATCCTTGAGGGGAAAAAAATTTCTCTGTTCAGGTCTAGAAATGAAAATAATATCTCACTTTGGTTGGACAACTGGGTGGGTAATGACTCCTTGAAGGAGTTGATTCCAGATTATTTACTTTGGTAGTTAACAACTTTTTTGGCTGATAGCAGATGTAATGGTATTTGGAGCATAAAGATTTAGAAGGAATTTCAATGACAGGGAGGTGATTAGGCTTGCTTAATTTTTCAATTTCCTGAACATTTATCAGCAACTATCCAGTACATCTGAGTTTTTACAGTGTGTTCTTCTTCATCATCATTTATCAAAGAAGCAACATAAATTATCAAGGATACCAAGAAAGGTGAAAGAGTATAATTAAGTGAGAAACCCGTAGATTGGTAGAGATTAGATAAGGGGGAATGATGACTAATTAATATCGGAGTTCCAATTTTTAGATGTCATTGAATGATCATTTTGAACTAATTTGGATATGTATTCAGTAATAACTAGTTTAGGACATTTTTTTAGATAAATAAGTAAATCGAATATGACTAAAGGGTGCATCAGTTGTTGTACATTCCTATCATCTATAAATCCAATCCCCATCAAGCTAACAATCCTTGGCAGGCTAACTACTTCATGACAACAATAATGGACTCTGAACTAACCATTAAAGGAGTAAAAATATTCCACATGGTCAGTCAAAAACTAAAATTCTAAAATTACAAGAGACAAGTGATGTCATTCAAGGACTTCTTGAACAGTTATCTGGTCAAACTGGGTTACCAGCACTTCTCCATGTTCTAGAGACATTGTTTATATGAACAAAGTTTATCCCTTAAGGAAACCACAATTTTGCAAGTTCAATAAAGCAATTACATCAGAAAGTTCAGAATTAGACAAGATTATGGCAAAAATATTGAGTACTTTGAACTATATCAGATTTCAGTATTTGGCCTAGCCCCAAATTCATATATGAGCTGAGGGTAAGCCAGATGCAAGCTCCAACCAATTATGAATGAGAGAAAAAGTTAACAAGGTTTGAATAAGGATCACCATAGGCTCAACTCAAAAGGCCAATTTTCAATTCTAATATTTATTTTTCAATTTCAACTGAACATTTAACAAGTCATTTCTTGCCAAGAATCACTAGCACATGCAGCTATGATCTCATTCAAAAGAAACATTAAAAAGATCATAAAAGTAAATGTAACAATATAAATCGAGAGTCCCAATTACCTCTGAGTCAGCACGCAATCTGCTTTGCTGATCAAATTCATGCGTTTTGCTGACAATGTTAGGCAGGTGAGAGAAAATATGTCTCACCAATTCATGCATTGTGTGTCTTGCTATTCTCTGCAGCAGTTCACTTTTGGCACTAGCTTGATGAACAAGCCGAAAGCAAGTGTTTACAATGTTGCACACGTGATGATTACTTAAATTTGCTGATGCCTTACTTTTCATGCAAGCCAAAAGAACCTGAAGTATCTTCATAAGCACCACTTCCTCGGAGGCAGGATCAGTCACTTCAAAGCGGCAACTTGTCACGGTCTCAACTATCTGATGTAAAGCTTTCTCCACATTCATGATAGATGAATCAATTATTTCAAGGGTTAAGAATTTGTAAACAGAAGACAATGCAACACCGGTTATTGGTGCACCAGTTTCGTCAGATTGAACCACATCCAAGAAAGGCTGAAGATATAGGAGTGGATCAACTCTGTTCCAGTGATGTTGCCATGAGAAGATACTTTTCCGTAATTCCTTGAAAGAATGGATGAGAGGATGCTCTAGCTGATCATCAGCAGCAGCATAGCGGAACCCCCACCTTACATTTCTCCTCATAACAGCCAAAACAGCACCAATTTCTGAATTTACCATACATGCTAAGGCACCTTTGGAAGGCTTTACAGTGCAATCCTTGGGTTCTGAAAATGGAGTATTGACTTCACTCTGCTGATTAAGGCACCCCATCTTGATTAAACTTTTAATTTAGTTCACTTGAATTGTAAAAGAATCGAAAGGCTACAGAACGAATCAAGCAGCATCTTGCTAAATCATCTCCTGAGCATCAACAAATTGGTTTAATATAAGACAGCCAACCCTTATAAGTAGATAAAGGCAAGTAAAACAGTTAGTGAGATACCAAAAATCAACTAGCTACATTTCATTCACGGTGACAAACGACTGAGATATCGTTAAAAGATTAAAAGGCTAAGAGTTATTAGAAGAACTGAAGAAGAGTGTAGTGCCATAAAGAAGACAATAAAAAATAAGACATATCCTAACCAAGGTAATTATGAAGTGCCTTTTTAAGGGCAAAATGCACAACCAAGTATAGCTAGTAGATGAAGCACCTAATTCTTTCAAAAGAAAGAGATCAGAAAACTGAGTGAGATGACTAGAACCATTTGCTTTTGAAGGAACAGCTCTGTAAATTATCTTTTGTTTTTGCCAATAAAAAAGAAAGAGATATGGGAAAGGCTACTAAATGGTTTTTCAGTAATTTGGTAACGTTGGTAAGTGAATAAACGTACAATTTCCTGAATTATTGATAGTTCTTCTCCACCTTGAATAATCTATTAGAATTCAACTCTACTCCAAGTACTCTTCTAGGCATCCAAATGTCCAAGTCTCTGACACTTTCAAATGTTAAAATCACTCTTCTCTTTCTCTCTCTCTCTCTCTCTTAAATGCTCATCTTTCTTCCTGATTAAAAAATATCTTTCTTTAACGCAACAACGGAAAAACAAGATAAGTAAAAAGGAGCACAACCACGACTACTATATTGTATTCATTTGCTAGATCATTCTGTCAAGATGTTAAAAAAGCTTTGTCCTCCCATAGATCTTTGCATCCTTAGAAATATTAAGATTAAGCTTTGCCTTTCAGCATTTTGCAATCAATACAGAACTTCTCACCTAAATAGATCATAGAGAACCCCTAATACGTCTTAAATGAGCACCATTTGAACAAAATGAATATAGAATTTGTATAATTGACTGGCACCCACGGGTGTGACCTAGTGGTCAATGAAGTGTGTTGAACACCATGAGGTCTCAGGTTCAAATCCCTGCCTAGACAAAACACTAGGTGATTTCCCCCATTTGTTCTAGACTTGATGGATAGACTCACCCGGTACCTGATGTTGATGGGAGGTTTCCCGCAGAAAAAAAAAAGATTGTATAACTGAGTGCAACTAGATTATAATTGAGATATATTGATTTGTACAATTTAGTTACCATCACAAGAACCCCAACCTCCTGAAACAAATAATCTCATCCCAAAAGCAGAAATAACAGAAAAAGGCAAACAAATGACTCGAAATTCAGAACAACCGCATTTCAAATCAGCCTTTAAACCTACCTACACCACCATGAAACCAACCCAGGGGTTTAGGTTATGGCATATAAAAGATCACAAAAAATGATCTTTACACAACCAATAAAATTCAAATCGCCTTTGAGATTTTCAAAAGCATATTATTATATAAATTGTCTCACGATGTCACATCACTTGTTATTGCGCGAGAAAATTCAGAAACAAAACGAAAATTATAGCAACAAATTCGAAATGCCGGATCTAAATCAACAATCAGAGACATAATTCAGAAATGATAACAAAAAAAATATGGCTGAAGATCAGTATGGAGTATGGAATTCAACTTTTATAATTATATGATTCATAGGATCCAGAAGAAAGTGAAATTTACCTTATACACAATGTTGAAAGCTGCTCGTAATAGGGTCCTTGCAGTTGATTTTTTTTTTTTGCAGTTGATTTTGGAGGGGTCTTCCTTTGTCAATCTTTAAACAACGGGTTAGAAATCAATATTTTTTGTTTTCATTATTATTCTCTCTTTTTTATTTACATTTTCGATGTTTAAATAATAATAATTGAATTATTGATTTATTGTTATTGGGTTATTAGGTTAATGGATTTGTAAGTTATAGGTTCATTTTCAATTTTATGATTGTTAAAGCGATGATTCAATAAGATTATATTATTATTATTTTACCCTAATAATATATGGAAAAATTACGCGGAAAGCAAACGTATACTAGTTAATTAGCTAACATAGCTATAGTTTGAATTAATTACGGCTCGCAACATAATTTTAGTTGTAATTACGTCACTTATATATATACAAATACAAATTATACATATATACATATAATTATATGACAGATATACAAATACAATTAGTCTCTCTCCACTCTCAGTCCTCTCTCCTCCCTCTCCAATCTCGCTCGCTAGATATACAAATACATATGTATATCAGTTACATATATACAATTATATGACAGATATACATATACATTTCGTCTCTCTCCACTTTTTTCCCTCTCTTGCTCGCCTCTCTCCTCCCTCTCCCAATCTCGCTCGCTAGATACACAAATGCATATGTATAGTAGTTACATTTATGCAATTATTTGATAGATATACATATACAATTCGACAGATATACTATATAATTTGTCTCTCTCCACTCTTTGCCCTCTCTTGCTCGCCTCTCTCCTCCCTCTAACATATAGCTACGAATCGTAATTAGCAAACTATAGTTATGGAGCATAATTAAGTTATTTTTGAGTGGCTATATGCGAAAATAACATTTTACCAACCCTATCATCTAAATTTTCATATTACTTTCAATCGTATGCAACACAAATTGGTCGCTCTAAAGTGATATCTTCTCTCTTCTCGACAAACTAGTATTATCTTCTCTCTTTTAGATTTGATTGTGACAAAAGACTTACAATTAATATTGTTTCTGCAATTTATTGTATGAGTTCTTTTGAAGGAATTTGGACAATTATATCTTAAACAAAAGAAATAAATGTAAAAAATTGTGTCACACTTCTACACTTATCGATTACACCGAATATCAAACCTTTGAGGACCAAAAATCAATAATAAATATCTTATTAGTTTGATTATTAATTTAGTATGTTCACAAATCAATATCTTCCATTTGGAGGGTGGCTAGAGTGCCCTCGTTGACATCTTCTTATAGTTGATGAAGCAATCAACAACTCCACATGGCATCCCATATCAAATGGGAAACTTCGAAATGAATCTAAATAAACAAAAACAGCACAACAAACACAACGCATATATGCAAAAAAATATGGATAGTCTATTTAATTGGCACTCAGCATATAGTTGTGCAGATTGTGATCATGTTGAAAAGTAACTATGAGCTAAAACTTTTAAATACTTAAACACAAGTAAAATACTAATCGCCTAAAGCAAAAAATAAAGCAAATAAGTATCCTTTATAAAAGAAATTTTCAAGAAAGACAAGTGGATAGTTTTGAACATTTGATTTTGTTTTCTATGCGTAAAATTTCAAGTTTAATAGTTTTAACTTTTGATATTGAAGATTTGCATATGAGGTAAGCAGGGTCAAAAGTTCAAAATCACTCATCATCAAGATCATTCGTGTAATTTTTGGAGGGGAAAAGGTCACCAAATATGTATCGAACTGATCGACAAGTGACATAATCTGAATTAATCATTTCATACTGAATAACAAGTGGACTTATTCTAGTGACCAAGTCAGGCCACAGCCACTGATTTTTGTTCTATAAATTAACTCTTTTCTCGAAATTAAAAAAAAAAAAAGGTTAAAAGAGGAAGGAACTCTTTTGCTGGGTCAAACCATCTATTAAATAACAGTATATCCCTTTTGTTTCTTATTTTTTAGTAGTATATACTAAAATATAGTCCTCCATATGTTGCTATAACAAAGCCAAAGCAATAAAACAAATGCGTCTTAACAAACAGGAAAAGCACCTTTCAACTCTAATAATTTGCCATTTGACAGGATATTCCTTTCCCATTCATATAAAAATATGAAATTGACATCCCAATTTACTTGTGTATAAAAACTACTAACTAGCCATTCTTGTTTATTACGCACAATTCCTAATATCCATTTTTTACGATTAGGACCAATAAGGTATCTAATCCCATTCTCTCTCCCAGGGAGAGAAGCACATCGAATACACACAAAAAACAATGGCTAGGAAGAGAAAAGCTGAAGGACTAACGAAAATTCATGATGCTGCAGCCATCCTAAACGGAGCTCGAAAGAAATTTGTTGGAGTTAGACAGAGGCCATCAGGCAGATGGGTTGCTGAAATAAAAGACACCATACAGAAAATAAGAGTATGGCTTGGGACTTTTGACACTGCTGAAGAAGCAGCAAGGGCTTATGATGAAGCTGCTTGTTTGCTTCGTGGAGCCAATACTCGCACGAATTTCTGGCCTTCTTCTTCTCCTTCAACTTCAGCTCTGCCTCCGAAAATCACTAAACTTCTTCTCAGAAGACTCAGAGAACGAAATAAATCCGTAGCTGCTGCTGCTAATGATGACGATTCGTCCAGTTCTACCTCTCTGGCTGCAATTGGTCATCAGCAGCAGAAGCAACAAGAAAAAATTGGAAACACAGTAGCTGATTTTTCAGATTTGTCGTATACTGATTATCTCAATTACCCTGAAGATAATGTAACTGATAACAACAACGCGATTGCTAATGTAAGTGCAATTACAAGAGAATTAACAAGCATAGTGCAATATGGCTATAATCAGGAATTTAATTTTCAGCCTGTGAACAACTATGAGAGCTTGAGCGCGGAGATTATAGAGATAGGAGAGGCAATTAATACTGATGTTGAAGATATAATAGAGTCAAATATTGACTTCCAATTTCTAAACGAAATTGGATCGTGTAACTATTCACCATTTGATTTAGCTGAAGAGCTATCAATGGTGGAGACAATGGAACAGGGGATGGATTTTGGGGAAGAAACATCAATGGTAAGTGAGGCAATGAAGAGGATGAATTACGAGAGGAAGTTTTCAGCTTCTCTTTATGCTTTCAATGGGATCACAGAATGTTTAAAGTTGAAGATGAAATCTGGAGGCCTAACGCGGTCTGACCAATTATCCAGGCTTCAAAATGCATGCAAAAGGAACCTCGACAAGGAGAGGGAAAATGAAAAATGCAACGTTGGAATGACTGAGAATAAGGATGAAGAGAATTCATCGGAAGAAGTAGCATTTTCGTCGATGGAGAGTGCTTATGACAGTGAATTCTCCCTCTGGAGCTCTATTGATCTCCCACCATTATGCTTCGTTAGTTGAAAATGTTGACAGAATCATTTGTACAAGTTAAATTTTGTGTCAATTTGTATTGGGACTTTTTAAATATAGTAGACAAACATTAATGTCAATTCATTCTCCAAAGTTCCAAACGAGTTTAGAGAAAGGAAACAAATTGACACAAGAAAATCCATGTAGGACTCCAAATGATCGTCGATAGGGGAGAAGAGGGGGAGGGAAGTAAATTAGATCCTAACAGTAAATGGGTCAAAGAGAGACCTCGCGCGCATCTTGCAGTTCAATCTGTAAGTAGAAACTGTAGGTAACTGAAATTCCATAGACACTGACAACGTTTAAAAGAAACATTAAAAAAGAGAGTGAGCTAGATCTCCTAGCGAATCAACAAAAAAAAAGTTGCTAGGCACCTCTGACCAAGCAGGGTGAAATTTGTTAACAAGACAAAATGCAGTAACTGAGCTGGTATACCAATTATATACAAGAACGAGCTTTCCAACTTAGCTCCTTATTTCAGAGACTTCAAAGTACTCGAAGCTGAGCAAGAAAAGCAGCACAGAGATCCAGGAAGAGGAACTGTGGACCCTGAAGCCTCTGAAGGTCAAGTAAGTACTTCTCCTCCCTGGTTTTGTAAAGCTGAACACAAACATCAAATAAAATTTCAGAACCATACAAGCTGTGCAAGACTCAGAAAAACAGCAGATCCAAAGAATAGATAAATTCTATTGCTTTCTGAAAGACGGACCAATTAGGAATATTTTTTTCATTAATCTGTCCTATTCGGGCCAATTTGTGTGCACCTCGGCTAATTCCAACAGGTACTTACTACCTCTTACCAACAAAAATATCGGGTAACTTTGTCTACCAAGGTTTTGGACAGAAGTGATGAAATCACCAAAGAAGTAACACTTTATCCTCTTCAGATTAAACAAGGACCAATTCATATGCATTCAAATGTTGAAACCAACCTATAGTAATTTTCCAAAGATTTGCATCTAAAACACATTGGCAAGCATCAAGAACAAGCAAGCTACAAATTTGGGATACATACAGATTAATAGTTGCTGAAATCCTGCCCCTATATATGATAAAATAGATATAGACATCCACTTAGAAAGAATACAGGCATACTTCCACCAATTATGTGCAACATACTTCATTACAGCTAGTGCAAACTACTTTCTCACCCAATTCTTTGTTCATGTCATTAAGATTGACCATGTTACTAAAGCTTTTCTTATTTTCATGATATACAAGTGCCCTCTAAACTCTATCTTAAGGCCAAAGCAACATTCATGTACTCCTGTATGAAAAAGTTAGACAGAAACTAGATGTATGATCCATGAAATTTTTCATTACCTGAACTTCAAACTTGACCACATTTGTTAATTTTGTGTCCCCATCATTCTCAATGATGGATGAATCATCTCCAAAGAACTGATTCCCGTGCATGGAATTAACACCCATGCCTTCATGATGACCAGGTACGCTAGGAACCCATCGACATTTCATGTTATACTGACCAATCTTTTTCCAACATACATTCAGTTCTTGCAGAGCTTTCAGAACTTCAGTCATTATTTCACGTGGATGCGCTCGAGACTGTAACAAAAAAAAACAAAAAAGCGTTTATTATGTATGCATACTGTTGGACAGAATTTAGAAGCAAATTGTCTAGAAAATTTCACAAGAGAACCCATCAAATTAACAGAGGCTGTACGTGCATGAGCCTATACTTATTATACATGGAATTGACAAGATGTTTTCAAAGTTAAATCAGATTGAATACAAAATAGGATCACGGAAGTTTTCAATGATTACCAGTACTTCAATTTCCATCATAAAAATAAGAACAAAGGTCTCGTACTTGGCCCTTCCCTCCACTCACATGTTAACATAAATATCCATTTGCATATTTCTTTGATCAATAAGTATGAATGTCCAGCCCCCAGGGTTTCGGTCTAGGGGGTTAAGAGAAGGTAGAGGAGCAGGGTCATATGACTGTCCAACGATTAGCTTATTTAAACGAAAAATAAAAGAGAGAGCAAAGTTAGTTATTTGCATGAAGCAGCAAACCAACCTGGAGGCCAAGAGCCCATTTTCTTTCAATGGGGAACTGTCTTGCACCAGCTTGCTGATAATCCATTATTCCTGGGAAGCGTTGACCAACAGGGGAAGCAGCGGTTTCATTAGAATTGATCCGGTTGTAACCATATTCCTGTAAGGGCATGTTTATACATCCAATTAAACACATTTAACGGCTAAAATCAACCACAACTATATACCCAAGCTTAATGTTGATGAACTCGGTGACTGTCATAAAGATGTAACATATTTATGGACAAGAAACTCATTAAATATTGGCGAACTGATTGGCTCCTTCTCAAGAAAGCAGATGGAATGAAACTGCAGCTTTATTCAATAAAAACAAGCAAAGACGCACCATGGACTCCTGAAATTCAGCTCCAAGATAGCCAGTGGATACACGATGGCGATTGTCCAGGAGCAGATAGTACGCAACAGTGCCCTGAAATACAACTAAAATTGAGGGAAAAGGGCAATCCAGGAAAAAAGTAGATGGCTGATAACGAAAATTTACCTCATTTTGAACTCTATTGCGAAGAGACTCAGTAAGGTTGTTCCTGTCAAATCCCATCTTAACCACCTCTTGAAGAATCTCTTCATCGATCTGCAATCAAATATTTTTCAAGGATATTTTGACTAGATGAGAATTCTTCTGGTTTAGGAAACCATGTTAAGAGCTGTAAGGTCATACAAAAAACTTAACATATGAAGTCACCACAAAGAAAACCCCAACAACCATACAAGTCAAATTGTAGTAAATGTGATAAAAGAAGCATTTGGAAAAATAAATAAATAAATCAAAGAAGATGCGGTGATGCACCAAAACATCCCAAGCATATCAATGAATATAGAAATTTCCTAAATACAATTCTTTTGGCCAACAATTGTATCCATGCCAGCTTGCATGCATCTCACTAGGCTCCTACTACCTTCCACCAGCACATACCTGATAACTCTGAGCACCAGGTGATAGCTCCATGGACAAGGATGATGTTGTAGAAGCCCTAAGAAGACAATCGTCAAGGTCTCAAGCTAAGGAGTTGCAAGCCAAGATTGTAGGGTTTCAATGGGAAATCAAGAAGATGTTTATCATGGAAGAAAAGCCCAAGAATAGTGAGAAAGAATGGACTGAGTGCTATGCATATTTTATGGTTCAAGTCCAAGCCCAAATGGAAGAAGATTGAAGCCCACATGCGGCTGAAATTTCTCCCCAAAAGAATGAGCTTAAAATCATCACCCAAAAGGGGGGAAAGAGTCGCATACAAGTGACTTGGGAAGGGTCCACATGTTTTGGTCAAATTTGGAAACTTTTCCTTATTTCTTTGGGGAAGAATTTTTGGTATAATTTTTATATGCTTTCCTAGCTTAAAGTTTCCTAGTTAGATTTTGTTTATTATTTCCATAAAAGTAGATTCTAATCCAATTCTATTTGAGATAGTTTTTCCCCAATATATAGGGGTAGATTTTATTATTTTTGTATAGACAACATTATTGTTAATTGAGAATTTCTCTACTTTACAGTTTACACCTTTGTGTATGGCTATTGGGGATTACAACCTTTTAAGAACAATTCTTTAAGAGGTAAGATTAATTCTTTAACTTGATATCTTTGGTTCTTATTCGTAAATTAAAGAAGGTAATCAGTCATATACTAATTATTGTCTCTAATTTCTTCGAAATAGAGGTCTAGATCACTATTTGATCTAAGTTCTTGAATTGACTCTATTAGTATCATAAATTAGCTTTAATCTGCTAATTTCTAAACACTAAGATCAATTAGGATTCTTAGAACTACTTTTGAATTTGGGATTTTATTCTCAAATTTCGCTCTAATTTCTTGTCATTAATCTTAGTATTTTTGCTTTCGCATTGTTTTCTTGTTTATTCAAGTAACCCGATTCTTATCACTAGGGCTCAAACATAAGGAACGAAATAACAAGTGTTTTTTGTCTCAATGGGATTAGGAGACCCTGATCTACAAGGTTTGCACCCACTTTATTGACCACAAGTCCACATCCTTGGACCTTGGGAGCACTTCCCAAATATAATCAGTTGAACTATCTTCTTGTATTTATCTGGTGGCGTTCGCAGAATGGACCTGGAGTAAAACTAACAAAACTAGAGTGGGACTTCGTCACAAACAAAAGGGTGAAGAAGGTCAGAACTACTAAATCTTTTATTTTTTATTCAAAGGACCCAAATGGATCCTGATTTATTAAATAAACATGTGATATTTATGAAAGTGGGTTAGAGAGCTAATAAGGTTGGATGAGTGAACAAGGATAGCGTGATCAACACATTGAAACGAGAATATCTAGCGCAACAAGATATGGTTGTGACAGCAAGACAAATCACAAATCTGACCCTTCTTTAAGATGCACAATTGTGTGTTTGCCATAAGGGGAAACTGCTGATCAATTTTTTTAATGTCTTTATTCTAATTTATTTTTACGATGTCTTTTTACCAAAAAGGAAGATTTATGAGGCTCTGATGACAGGAACTTCCACAGCAATCATAAACTTTCCCCATTGTTTAGGTACTTGCAACATTTCCTAAATTATACAAGCTGGCTCAAGATATATGAGCAATTCTGATCATTCTTTTTCACTCTTTTACATGGGCGCAGGGGAGGGCGGCAGAAAGATGTTGTAGGTTAAATAAATAGAATCTACCATTTAAGGCAATCAAAGATGCAAAAGAAGATAGGAAATCGCCTAGAGTGATTCCATCGCATTACAATCAAGAAATAAGTTGTGTTTGATCAACAGAATACTGCTTTAGTGCCGTTTATATGGGATAGCAAATAAGTAAAAGCTGGGGAAAATTTCTATCCTGCCATGTATAACTTGTTGCATGTGAAACATTAAGGCGAAAAAAGACTAATCATTAATAAGTCAAATGTACATTCAATCTAACCTTCTTGGCTTGTTGCATTGTATCT